CATGAGTGGAGATATGCTAGGGGAATGGGAAAGAATTTATGGGAAGAAGTCAGGGAATTAGTGCTCTCAGCTTTTATTCCCTGGGCTAAAAAGTGTCAGGAAACTATGACAGCCTGTCTCTGGGGTTGTAGCACCAGCCAAAGTCACAAAATTGAGGGGGCACCTGGGGCTGCTTTGTGGTTGAAAGATTATGGGAATGAGAGCAAGAAATACATATCAAGTGTCTACAAGAATCAGGACTCTTCCTCCCCTTTTGGAGGGGTCCGTGTTGCACCAGATGGGTATCATCAGCACTAACTGCTAAGGACCAAGCTTAGGCCCGTGGACTGGGCAAGAGCCTGGGAGACTGCCACGGCCTTTCCCTCCTCTCTCAGAAGGTTCTCAATAGAAACATGTGCAAAATTACCCCATTACCCTTTGGCTCTTTGGACTGTTTGATGATCACTTGTGCTAGCCAACAAGGCAGCTGTGAATGATAAAGCTACTAACAGCATTGTCTGGTTCTGGCCCATCAGAAAGCAAGGGGTGTGTGGGTATAAGCAGGGCCTGCCCATTGGGGTCACCCTTGCTCTTGATATCACAGAAATTTTCTCCAAGTCAGGGTAGGAAGCTTGTCTAATCGGCAGTTCCCCATGCTCTGCCAACATGCAGAGGATGCACTTTCCGAGGCAAGAGAAGCAAAGGTGTTCATAGGGGAGCTTTGAGAGACCAATGTCAGATTTCTTTAAATATCCAGTCCTCTGAGCTGGACAGTGTTAGGTGAAGCCTATGGAAATAAGGAGGGAGAAGAGGAGATGTAGGAAACTGATAATTTTACTATGCAGCTTGCCTAAACTGCACATTATTATTATTTTTTAAATCAGTACAAGATCCATTTAAGGGAAACATTATTACTCCCTGGACTGCCTTTGTACCAAAAGAAACAAGAGGGCCCTGAGCAGAAGTGAAAGGCATGAATTGCTTTTCTTCTACACAAGGCTGGTGAAGAAGAAAACAATTACCTTTGACACCCACCTTATATCAATATCCTATTTCATAATAGCATAGACTGTTGACGTTTCGACCATTAATAGATCATTTACATCAGCTCTTTTAAATTGAGGGTTCAAAGCTATAAGGTGCCTTGCTAATGGCTGCAGAATGGCGAACATTAACAAGAACAAAGGTCTCCTCTTCAACATTATTGTTTTTCTCAACCATAAATCTCCTTCATGCAAATAACATATACACAGCGATTTATAATTTGCAGAGGTATTTGTTTTTTGGTATACCATGTATGAGATGGGTGAGTCTACCATTGTCATTTTACCAATGAGGATTGAGGATCAGAGTTCATTGATGGGGCAGCGATGTTATGGAAAGCAAATATTTTACTTAATATTTTCTTGACTATCCTGGGCTTCCATTTCCTTTTTAACTTTTTAAATCTTAAGAGTATTAGGTATTTATTGTAGAAAAATTGGAAAATACAGAAAAGTGGAAGAAAAGTTAAATCATCTATAATCCCATCATCCAGCGATAACCACTCTAGCATTTTGAGATTATGTATTTCCAGTATTTTTAATGCTTATATTTTAACGAGATCATATTGTACATACGGCTTGTAATATTTTTACTTAATATAGCATAAATGCTTTGTCATTTAACATTGACATCACTTTTGACAGCTTTTAAGACTTTGTGTACATTCTTGATGATTTCTGAAGTATGTATTTCCAGGTAGAGTTTCAAAGTTAAAAGGCAATGCTTAAGGTTTCCAATACTGACTGCCAGAGATCACATCTATTCACCTCTCACCAGCAGCGTTAGAGTTCCAGTTTCCCTAAATCTTTGTCAGTTTTAGGGAAAAAAGTGCTATCTCAACTGTTATTGTAGTATAATCTTTAATTCCAGTGAGGTAAGAACATTTTTTTTTGTCCACTGGCATTTATTCTTTCGCGATTTGCCTATTTAAACATTTTTTTTTTTTTTTTCCTATTCAGACTTTTTCATGTATAGAGAAGTGGCTCCACAGAAAGGTTCTTGATTTCTACTGCCTGGGTTCAAAGTCTCCCCTCCAGCAGGTCATGACCCCAAGCATTCCTTTCCTCATCTGTAAAATATAAGCTGAAGTGAGAAATAACCAACACGTATCTACAAAGCCCTTAGCCAGTACCTATTACATTTGTTATGTCAGAACTCTAAAGAAAAATTCCCTTGTTATTTCTACTCCACCACTTGTCTATCAGTTTAGTTGTGCTTAATTAACACTTAATTGCGCTCATGCAGAACCTGTACGTAGACCAAAGGGCAGTTGTTCGAACAGAACAAGGGGATACTGCATGGTTTAAAACCACAAAGGCTGTGCATCAGGGTTGTGTCCTTTCACATTCTTATTCAATCTGTATGTGGAACAAATAATCCAAGAAAATGGACTAATGAGAAGAAAGTCACATCAGGACTGGAGGAAAACTCATTAACAACCTGCAATATGCAGATGACACAACCTTCCCTGCTGAAAGTGAAGAGGACTTGAAGCACTTACTGAGTAACAGCCTTCAGTACGGATTACACCTCAACATAAAGAAAACAAAAATTCTCACAACTGAACCAATAAGCAACGTCATGATAAATGGAGAAAAAGATTGAAGTTTTCAAGGATTTCATTTTATTTGGATCCACAATCAACACCCATGGAAGCAGCAGTCAAGAAATCAAACAACATATTGCAACGGGCAAATCTGCTACAAAAGACCTCTTTAAAGTGTTAAAAAGCAAAGATGTCACCTTGAGGAGTAAGGTGTGCCTGACACAAGCCATGATATTTTCAATCACCTCATACACGTGAAAGCTGGATGATCTATAAGGAAGACCAAAGAAGAAATGCTGCCTTTGAATTATGGTGTTGGTGAAGAATACTGAATATACCATGACTGTCAGAAGAATAAATCTGTCTTGGAAGAAGTACAGAACGCTCTTTAGAAGCGAAGCTGTCAAGACTTTGTCTCACGTGCCTTGGAAGGAAGGACCAGCCCCTGGAGAAGGACATCATGTTTGCTTAGAGGGTCAGTGAAAAAAAAGGAAGACCCTCAACGACATGGACTGACACAGTGGCTGCAACAATGGGCTTAAATGTAGCAAAGACTGTGAGGATGGCACAGGAATGGGCAGTGTTGTCTTCTGTTGTACACAGGGTCACTGAATCAGAGCCGACTCAAAGACACCTAACAAATTATTCCTAATGTCTGTTCTACCCTTCTTAGTTTCCTTGGGTCTTTCTCTGTGGAAAAGATGAAAAACAAGAGTTGAGTACTTCCTATAGTATATTTTGCTACATTTTACCATCTTTCCCAAGTGATACGATCCTTTTTTTTTCATTCATTCTCCAAACATGGGCATTTACCCTTTTGGCCACTCTCATTAATTTGTAGACGCCTATGTATGTGTGTTCCCATAGGTGCATTACCTGTTTCTTTTTATACTAATGACAACTCTCCTTTCTCTATAATCAAGATTCTAGATTTCCATACAGATCAGTTTTGGTAAGGTCCTTCTTATTCCTCCAACCCATTTTGAATGACATGTCTTTCGATTGCAGACTAACCTGTATAATTTCGCCTTGCACTGAGAAGCACCTTCCTGTTGGTCTCTCAAAGAGGACAACCTCTGGATCACCGTATTAGTATTACTTCCTGTTGTCACTTCCTTTTAGCGTTGTCTTTAACAAAGTTCACATATGACATTGTGAAATAATGGTGATAAGTCAAAACTGAACATATGCACAGTGCCTGAAAGATCTCATAGACCCTAAGACAAACTGACAAATATATTTTGAGCACCTGAGCCCAAAGGTGTACTAGGAACTGTGGGATACAGCCCCAGAAACAAATGATACAATCACAGCAGCTTCTGACCCAGAGCCTTGGGAGTTAGGAAGAACATGATAGCAGCTCTGACATTGGAAACAAAGAAGCCCTCATGTCCAGGAAAGGGAAACTTAGAACTCTGAATCTTTCTCCCACCCCCGCCCCTGCCCCAACCCCATGTAAGTTCTAGCCTAGCCTACAGGTTTGGCCAGGAAAGTACATATTAGCCCTTTTTTTAGGGTCACACCAGACCAAGAGAAAGCTCCTCACCACTTCTTGGTCCAAGGGCTCTGGGTTTTGTTAACAGAAACTTCTCCATTTGCCCATATTTTGATATAGGCACTGCTTAAAAGATTCTGGCTCCATCCCTGTCTTAGACATGATCTCACTTCAAAAGGAACTTCATATAAAGTGGCCTTATATTTTTACTTCACAGATGTGCCACTTTCTCTTCCTGGACTTTGCGTTTTTTCTGTTTGTTGGGAATAGTCTTCCTTGGCCTACCCTCTTAACTCCTACTCACCTTCAGGGCATTTTTCCAAGAAGTGTACCCTGATCCAAGCCTGGGTCAGGGGCTTCTCCTTGGGGTCACAGTACTGAACATAGTGTCCTAGCCTGCTTGACTGCCATTTCTATCAGACTGTAGAGTATGTTTCATTTTCCACTGTATCCCTAGTGCCCGGCAGACACTAAATTTATTTGTATTCTTTCTTCTCACTCCTAGTTTCTGGCCTTCCCTGGGCTCAACAGATAATTTATGAGACCGTTTCCCTAGCTTTCTTGTTGCCTTGTCACTGTCCTTATTTGCGATCGTAAATTGTTTTCTGAGTTCCTGAGAGACAAAATTTCCTTATGCTGTCCGCATCATCCCAGCCCAGGCACACTGACAATCAGATGTAGCGATAAAGTCTGGGTCACTGTGTCCTTTTCGTGATGTTCTCATGGAAAGTGAGGTTTTGTCGTTACATTCCTATTTCCTGAGTATTCTTAATGTTAGTAGAAAAGCTGTAAGTAATGGCTCTCCCATCTATCATTCTCGTTAGTCACAGAAAAAGCTTTTAAGGGTCAACTTTTATCAGCACTGGGAAGTGCTACACATAGCAAGCTAGACTGATTAAAGATCTAGTAGTTTACAGCCTTTAAGTAACTTAGCTCTAAAGCAAACACTTTTGACTAACAAAGACAAGAATCTGACAAAAATATTTACAACAGTCATTGTATTCACAAGTTAGACTGCGGACTCTCTGATGGCACATAAGGACTGCCCGGTGCCTGAAAGCTTTCCCACATTCACTATATGTATGTATAAGCTGCATCCCCAGAGTGGAGTCTCTGATGCTGAGTAAGGGCTGAGCTCCTTTTGAAAGCTTTGCCACATTCGTTACACTGATAAGGTTCCTTTCCACTGTGAATTCTCTGATGTCTGATGAGGTTTGAGCTCAAACTGAAGGCTTTTCCACATTGATTACATTCATAGGGTTTCTCACCAGTGTGAATTCTTTGATGTATAATCAGATCTGAATTTTGACTGAAGGTTTTGCCACATTCATTACACTGATAAGGTTCCTCTCCACTATGAATTCTCTGATGTCTGATGAGGTTTGAGCTCAAACTGAAGGCTTTTCCACATTCATTACATTTATAGGGTTTCTCACCAGTGTGAATTCTTTGATGTATAATCAGATATGAACTTTGACTGAATGCTTTGCCACATTCATTACATATACAAGCTTTCTCACCAGTATGGATTTTCCGATGCCTAATAAGGGCTGATCTCTGATTGAAGGCTTTTCCACATTCACTGCATTTGTATGCTTTCTCCCCACTATGAATTCTCTGATGAATAATAAGGTATGAGCTCAAACTAAACGCCTTCCCACACTGGTTACACTTGTAGGGCTTTTCTCCAGTATGGATTCTCTGATGTTGCGTTAGAGTATAATGCTGTGTGAAGCTGTGTCCACATATATCACATCTATAAGGTCTCTCTTCTGTATGAACTTTCTGATATGCTACAGAGTTTGTACTCAGAATCATGCTTCTTTGAGGATTATCATGATGGTCTCTCTTTCCTAGAGAATCATGTGTAAAGACCACTTGACTAAAACTGTTTCCTTGGGACGGAGATCTTCGTAATTTCTCCCCTGTAGCACTTCCTTGCTGCCACTCTAAATGGTTTTCATGTTCGCTAACTTCTTGAAATGAAGGTTCCAGGGTGAGTCCTTGTGATTTTTCTCCCAAAACTTCCTCCTTTGTTGCTGATTCTTTGTTCTCACAATCTGAAATGATAAACAGCAACAAACAGATTTTACATTTCTCCAATCACTCTCAGTAGTCACCCTCTACCTGAGAGAAAACAGTAGCTTCTACCTACAGAAATGTCATTGTTCACATATATCTTTTCTTTAACTGGCTGTACTAGGGTTTCTCCTCCTTTCCAGTGTTAAGGCCTCCATCTACACTTGAATTTCACCCTTTCCTATTCCTCCAGAGGTCAACTGATCACTACCAACTCCTTATTTCCCATTTTTAACCTCTTTCTCTAACTCCTGTTCATCAGCATTTAAAGTTTCTTGCCCACACATCTCCTTCAAGCAACCTCACTCATTCCCATTCACAGTAAAGCTTCTTCAAAGGGTTGTCTGTACTCATCCCCATTCTGCAACCTGGTTTCTGCCTTCCTCTGCTTTACTTCCACTGACGCTGCTCTCACCAAGGTCAGCAGCTTCATAGCTGCTTAATCTAATGGGTACTTTCCAGATCTTATTTCGTTTCCTCTCTGCAGCATTTAACTTTGGAGAACCTTGCCTTCCTTCTAGAGATGTTCTCCTCCAGCAATACTGGCCTGATTTCTGTGGCTGTTTCTTCTTAGCCTCTAGGCCCAGTAGCTCAAAAATTAGTGTTATTGTGTTCTGTGCTGTCATGAACCCACTCTACAAACTACCCGCTAAGCTTCAAATACTACGTAAAAGCTAGTATCTCCCTATGTACTCAACTCTATCCCAGCTTTACTGGACTCTAGATTCTCATATCCAACTGCTAACGAGGTATTTTATTTATGAATATTTCACATCCACAAAAATGTCCCAAACAATTACATGAATTGTTGCTGGTATCAAAACAAAAAACAAAAAACAAAACCTGTTGCTGTCAAGTCGATTCTGACTCATAGCAACCCTATAGGACAGAGCAGAACTGCCGCACAGTTTCCAAGGAGTGCCTGGTGGATTCAAACTGTTGTTAGCTGCCATCAAGTTGATTCTGACTCATGGTGACTGTACCTGTGTCAGAGAACTGTGATACATAGAGTTTTTCAGAAGCAGATTGCCAGCCAGGCTTGTCTTCCAATGTGTCTCTGGGTGGGTTTGAACCGCCAACCTTTTGGCTAGTAGTTCAGTGCTTAACCGTTTGCACCATACAGGGACTCCATTTACATGAACAGCACCACCCTTAACTAGACAGCTCAAAACTGAAAACTGAGTATCAGTCTCAAAACTCCTCTCCCTCAGCCTCCACTTTTAACAATCAGACCGCACTGAAATTTGAAAATTTAAATACTGATGAACACGAGTCACCTTTGATCTTCCTGGGATGGGGGTATCATACATTTTGACTTATTCACTTTGGCCACCTGGATTGCAAACACCTGTAATAGGACTCCAGGGCTCTACTTTTCCCTTCTTCAAATCCATTCTCCATTGTGCAGCTAAGTTCTAAAACATAAATCCAGTCACGTCACTCCCTTATCCCAAACCCTTCAGTTGCACCCCACAGCACCCAAGAAACTGTACAAATTAGCACGACATTCAAGTTTTTACTACCTGGATCCCATTTTTCTCTTTAGTTCATTTCTCACCACTCCTCCCCTACCAATACACCATTCAAGCCAAGGTGGCTTACCTACAATTCACAAAATGAATTGAATTCACAATTCAATTCTCTCACAGTACTTTGTGGCCTCTGCTTCAGATAGTCCTATTTACCTGGCTTTCGCCTACTCATACTACAGGTCTTAGCTTAGATATCTCTTCTTCCAGGAAGTGTTCCTTGAACTTTTAAGACTGGGTTTGGTACCATTTTACGTTCTCCCTTAGTACTTACTGTTGTTAGCTTCAGTCAAATCGGCCCATAACTGATGGCAACCACTTGCACAACAGGATCAGACCATTGTGATCCACAGGGTTTTCACTGGCTGATATTTGGAAGTAGATCACTAGGCGTTTCTTCCTAGTCTGTCTTAGTGAGGAAACTGCTGAAATCTCTTCAGCATCATAACAACGCACAGCCTCCAATGACAGATGGGTGGTGGCTTTGCTTGAGGTGTATTGGCTGGGAATCGAACTCTGGTCTCCCACATGGAAGGTGAGAATTCTACTGCTGAACCACCACTACCTAATGCCTACTATTATTCTGTAACTTACCATACTATGTTGCAATGCTTTTTCCTCATCCACCACCTATCCAGACCTGAAAGGTCCTGGAAGATAAGAGATCCAGTGCCTACCACAGTTCCCAACATGTATTAGCACTCTAGTAAATTGCAGAATGAAGAAATGAATGAATAAGTTAACGAACAAATGGCAGGTAAACAGACAAAGGAGGGCAGACTGCAATTTATGGGGGTTCCTGGAAACAAAGCTGGTAAAGTGAGCACCTCTGGTCTAGAATAATAAAGGTGATGCTTACATGTGGCAAGTTTATCAAATGCAGTTAATCGCGCATCCTCAAAACCAGAGGCCTAACTAATGAAAGTCCCCAGATGAGTTTCTATTCCTCACCACTTCTGAGGGACAGGCAAGGTTCCCAGGATTTCAGCTGTGTCTTTAAAGGCTGAAGTTGGACGTTTGTTGACTCCTGGGACGCTCCAAGAGATGTCAAATCCTTCCACGGCACTGCTGGACCCTGAAGACTAGCTGGAACCTAAAGTCAGTAAAATATGGTTAGCTTAGTAAGAATATCCCTGGGAAACTGCTGAGTAAAAATCTCAGAGAAGAGTTCACCAAGGACATCCCCAGGGATGAGCGACAGGGAAAAAAGAACCATTTAAAGGTAAAGACTTATACTGGCCCAAGGAGTCACTTCAAGGTTATGGTTCAGTAACAATAATTTTAATCCTATTGTTATGATGATACCACACGCTCCAGCCTGGAAATTCCTTCTCCCTTAACATATCACATCTCCCTGTTCCCACCTGTTGTCTTGGATCATCAAACTCTCTCTCCAAATCCTCCAGCAGGGTCACAGCTTCCTCGCCGCTTTTTGGACTCTGTTGCTGAAGCCAGACCTGTAGCTCCTCAGGCAGGATGCTCAGGAACTGTTCCAACACCAGCAGTTCCAGGATCTGCTCCTTTGTGTGCAACTCTGGCATCAGCCATTGATAGCAAAGCTCATGAAGTCGGCCCAGAGCCTCCCGAGGCCCAGGTGTCTCCTTGTAGCAAAACTTTCTGAACTGCTGGCGAAACATTTCTTGGCAGGACTGGGCACTCCCATCCTGTTTAGATTTCTGACCCCAGGAAAGGCCCTCTTCTACTTTCACTACTATTAGTTCTTGTTCCTGAGGATCCTGAGTTACCAGGGTTGAAAGTGCTCTGGATTCCACGGCCATTCTAGGCTGAAACAGCTCAGCAAAACGATCGCTACAACTGGGTTCTGTGCTTCACAGTTTCCTTTAGTATTTCGTCTTTCAAAGGCTTTCCTGAAGGATACAAAAGCATCGTTAACTTGTAGCCGTGAAGAAATCTCTAAGAACTGGTAAATAAGCCAGATCAATCACTCAGTGATTTACTGAAAGGGAGTAGATTTGAGATTGTAACTAAATAAAAATCAAATTAGAAACTAAAAATCAGTCATGCTGTTCAGTGTTCCCCATTTTGTAGAATTCCTACCACTAATGCTGTAAGACTTTAGAAGTAAAAGAACACAATGTTAACATTAATTACATAGTGAGAAAATTTTCTTTTCAAGTCTCTTTAAAGTCTGATTTCATCAAGGGGAAAACTCCTGGGTGCTAGCATGTCTTTTACAAGTCTTAAAACTTGCAGAACTCCATTTTTAATAAACAAAGTACAGGCTTAAGACTTCTGAGGGCAACAGCATTTAGCTAGAAATTAATAATACTGAATTTTAAACACTTATTTTTAGTTACTTTTTATGTATGGCAAGTCATGTTGATATTCATTTAAAGTAGTAATAAAACATTTTTTTAAAATTCACATGAAACATAACTTGACATAAATAAAAACATTATTCAATATTTGCTAGTTGATCAAATTTGGGATTCAGTGAATTCCTTCAATCAACACTGAGGCACTTACTCTGGTCTCTGTCCCTTGACAGGCACTAGGATATCAGGGTTCTTGCTCAGGGAATAAAAGAGTCTATTGAGACATTAACCAATAAGTATTTATTAAATGCTTAACACGTTAAAAACATGTTAAATATCATAAACAAAACATGTTAAATATCATAAACAGGCACAACAGAAGTAAAAATAACCTCAACCCTCAAAAAGCATAGAAGATACTGGGAATAAAAATGTAAACAGTGAAACATGGCAACAAATAATTATGTAGACGTGTTGTGGTACAGAGCAAAGATGATCCGATTTTAGGTTAGGGGAATATCCATAGGAGGGTATGCCCTTTAATCAGTCGACAGGACGGACAATTAAAATTTAACCATAACTAGAATATTTATGCCACAAATCTGTAACTAAGCTTTCAATTTTAAACCCCCGGTTAAAGCACCACGTCTGTAAACTCAAAGGGGTGGGAAATAACTGTGCTTTCTCCGGAAAACGGGATCGAGTGCCGGCGTCCTCTGCGTCCCCAAGACACTCAGAGCCGCCTCGACAACAAAGAACCGCGACCTCGGAGCGGGCAGATCGAGGGGCGGGGCTCCTCCACCCTGCGCCCAACGCTCCCGCAGCGCACCCTTCTCGTCCTCCCCCGTCTCCGGGCCCGCGTCCCTCACCGCGAAGCTCTGAAGCAGCCAAAGAACGAGTCAACGACACTGAGCTGGGAGTCACAAAGACCGGAAGTGCGCGCCGCGACCTTCCGCTCTCGCGCGTCTCTTTTGTGCCCTCCCAGCCTCCGTCCGCCCCGCCCCTCGCTCACTGGTAGCCAGTCACCGCCGTGGATTCTCCGCTTTTTCGCAGTCTGCAGGTTTTGTCCGCGGGGTTGAGGATCGGGGTCCTTTTCTCTCAGAGGAGAGGCAGGCCGTCCCTGAAAGGCTGTGTTCCCCGCCATGTTAGCTTCTTGCCCTGTCCTGGGCTGGGCCCACCGCCCGTCCACCATTCTTGGTCTCTGGTCACTCCTGGACTCATCCTGTCCTCAGTTTTCTAAAAAAGTATTCAGATTTCTTTTTAATTCCCGTTCTTTCTGAGGATCTCCACAAAAGTAAACAGGTGGATGAACGGGCTAAACAAAAAGCAAATCACTTACATTGCGCTTTCCCGTGCTTATTATTTGAGGTTTACAACAGCTCTGTGCGGTTGGTGTATTATCCCCATTTTACAGCCGTAAATGCTGCCCCAAATCAAGCAGCTTGTAACCAAGAACGCCAAAAAACTGTCAAAAACCTAAATTGCTTGGAGAAACACCAAAAATTAGTGTAACAGAATATATTTATTGTGAGCATTTACGATTCAAATTGGGCAGCCTCACCTGGAAGGTGCTCCAAAGGGAACAGGGAAAGCAGGTTATACAGGTCAGTGTTACGTTAATTTATCAACAGATAGCATCAAAGCCCAGGGCATGTTACAGAAACTGTCACCAAGGACATGCCATACATTCTCAAACAGCCTGTAGTCAGACCCCGGAGTTTCTGCTTCTTGAAGCTGGCTGCACGTAGATAATTGTCCAAAAGAACCCAATGCCTAAGGCCAAACGGTCTCCACTAAGCTGCTTACTAGGTTGTTGTTTGACCTGAAGGTAATTTCAGGGAATCAGTATCTTCAAGGGTCAAAAGGACACCTAAGGGTGGGTGGCCTGGGTGGGTCCCCCAATTCCATGAACCCAGAAATCTGGATTCCAGGAGAATCAAAACGATTTTGTGGAAACCAAAAACCAAACCCCTTGTGGTGGAGTCGATTCAGATCCATGGTTACTCCATGCGCTGCAGAGTAGAACTGAGCCCCACAGGGTTTTCTTGGCTGTAATCTTTATGGAAGCAGATTGCCAGGCCTTTTTTATGAGACACTGACTGGTGTGTTTGAACCGCCAACCTTTATGTTAGTAAACCATTGCCATCCAGTCAATTCTGACTCATAGTGATCCTATAGAACAGAGTAGAACTGCCACATAGGGTTTCCAAGGAGCACCTGGATTCAAACTGTTGACCTTTTGGTTAGCTGCTGAACCCTTAACCACTGTGCCACCAGAGTTTCCTCCTCTATACTGCATGTGGATGTAAACCCATTTGGAAATAAGGTTTTCTTTGTTACGTTAATGAAGCGCTACAGTGTTAAGATATGTCCTAGACCTAATCGCTTATGAGTTATAAGGAGCAGCATAGATGTGGAGACAAGGAAGCACAAACGGGGGAAGATACATGCCATGTGGGGACCACCAAGGAACCTAGGAACTCCAGGGCTACAGAAGCTGAAATAAACAAGGATATTCCCCCGGAGCTGACAGAGACAGCCTTCCTCTATAGCCACTGTCCTGAACTGGGACTTCTAGCCTCCTGAACTGTGAGAAAACAAATTTCTCTTCTTTAAAATCACCCACTTCTGGTATTTTTGTCACAGCATCATTAGGAAACTAAGACAGTAGATATGTAGGTATGTATGTATTTTTTAAAATTATTTTTAAGAGTTCATTAAGGAGCTCTGGTTGTGCAGTGGTTAATCACTTGTCTGCTAATCAAATGGTTGGCAGTTGGAACCCACCCAGTGGCTTTGTGGGAGAAAGAGCTGGCGATCTGTTTCCGTAAAGATTGTTGTTTTGTCCAGGCTTCCTTAAATGGTGGCTGTCTTCCAAGAGAGTGAAGGAGAGAGATGCTAGTTCTCCTGTATGTCCAGAACTGGCATTGTATCACTTCTGCTGCATTCTATTGGCAGAAGGACTAGATTCAAGGGAAGGGGAAATAGATTCTACCTTTTGATGGGAGGAGCAACTTGAACATGCAGAGACAGAAGGAAATTTTTGATTTGCAAAATTATCTTTGCATCCAATCTATAAAATCTTGTTACACTGAGAAGCTTACTGTTTAGGACTGGAACAATTAAAAGAGAGAAGGTATATCAGCTAAAATGCTTTCAGCGACAGTAATGGAAAATGTTATTAAATGCTCTTATTGTTTAAGCATTTAAATTGTCTCACATAGCTAGATGTGTGGAGGTAAGACCATTTTTACCACCACCACCAGTTGCTGTGCAGTCGACCCTGACTCATGGTGATGACTTGTGTGTTAGGGTAGAACTGTGCTCTATAGGGTTTTCAGTGGCTGATTTTTTCTAAGTAGATCATCAGGCCTTTCTTCTGAGGCACCTCTAGGTGGACTCAAACCTCCAACCTTTCAGTTAGCTGCTGAACATGTTAACTGTTTGCATCACCCAGGGTGAGCATTAGTATATATGAAACACTGGTAAGAAAAGCAGAGGATTCCAGTGAAATAAAAGACATGCTCTCTCATGTCGCCTAATGCTATAACTCCCAGTGTACAAACTCCATGAGGGCAGGGGCTATGTTTTTCCATTGTTGTCTTTCCATTATGACCTGGCATTGTACAAAGATTTGGTGCATAAATGAATGAATGAATACATACACACATATAAGAGAAAATATTGGTACTAAATCTAATGGTAGTAAGTATTTGAAGGGTTCAAAGAACTAGAGTATTTATTAAGGAAGGACAGTGTCATGGATTGAATTATGTCCCCCCAAAAATGTGTGTATCAGTTTGGCTGGGCCATAATTCCCAGTATTGTGTGGTAGTCCTCCATTTTGTGATTGTAATTTTATGTTAAAGAAGATTAGGGTGGGATTGTATAACACCCTTACTAAGGTCACATCCCTGGTCCAATGTAATGGGAGTTTCCCTAGGGTGTGGCCTGCACCACCTTTTATCTTAAAAGAGACAAAAGGAAAGGGAAGCAAGCAGAGATGGGGGACCTCATACCACCAAGAAAGCAGTACCAGGAGCAGAGCGTGTCCTTTGGACTTGGGATCTCTGCGCGGAGAAGCTCCTAGTCCGGGAGAAGATTGATGAGAAGGCTGACAGAGAGAGAAAACCTTCCCCTGAAGCTGACACCCTGAATTTGGACTTATAGCCTACTTTACTGTGAAGAAATAAATTTCTCCTTGTTAAAGCCATCTACTTGTGGTATTTCTGTTATAGCAGCACTAGATGACTAAGACAGATAGTTTTTAATAGTATGTTTATACAATTGTATTCTATTATTGTTACCATGATGTCACCAATTTAGCATTGTATCTTCAGAAATAGATAATAGATATATTAATAGAACAAGACAGTGCTTATTCATAGCATCCAAGACAGTAAACAAAGGCCTTAGTTACTAAGTTGCTTATCTTTCTTCAATGTCAAAGAAAACCCTTGAAGTTGCTCATAAGTGCATTCTTGCACTTATCATGCATATTGTTGTTAGGTGGCGTGGAGTTGGCTGTGAACCTTAGTGACCCTATGTACAACAGAACAAAACACTACCCAGTCCTGCACCATCCTCACAATAGTTGCTGTTTTATCCCATTGTTACAGCCACTGTTGTCACTCCATCTCCTTGAGGGTCTTCCTCTTTTTCGCTGACCCCTTACTTAACCAAGCATGATGTCCTTCTCCAGGGACTAGTCCCTCTTGACAACATCTCCAAAGTATGTCATACGAGGTCATGCCATCCTCATTTATAAGGAGTATTCTGGCTGTACTTCTTCCAAGACAGATTTGTGCATTCTTCTGGCAGTCCATGGTATTTTCGATATTCTTCACTAACACCATAATTCAAAGGCATTAATTACTCTTTGGTCTTCCTCATTCATTGTCCAGCTTTTGCATGCATACGAAGTGACTGAAAATACCATGGTTTGCATCAGGTGCACCTTACCTCAAGGTGACATGTTTGCTTTTTAACACTTTAAAGAGGTCTTTTGTAGCAGATTTGCCGTTGCAATATGTCATTTGATTTCTTGACTGCTGCTTCCCTGCGTGTTGATTGTCGATCCAAATAAAATGAAATCCTTGACAACTTCAATATTTTCTCTGTTTATTATGATGTTGCTTATTGGTCCAGTTGGACAATTTTTGTTTTCTATATTTTAGAAAATATATTTATATTTATTATTGAGGTGTAATCCATACTGATGGAAACCCTGGTGGCATAGTGGTTAAGAGCTACAGCTGCTAACCAAAAGGTCAGCAGTTCAAATCCACCAGGTGTTCCTTGGAAACCCTATGGGGACAGTTCTACTCTGTCCTGTAGGGTTGCTGTGAGTCGGAATAGACTTGACGGCATCAGGTTTGGTTTTTTTTTTAATCCATACTGAAGGCTGCATAGAGCAGAGGTGAAGCTACAAGTAGGCTCTTATTGCTTTACTTTTTTCCTCCTTTTCCAAGTTAATCATAGTGACAAAGCACTTGACAGCATCCCTAGCCTAGCTCTTAATCCAGTCAGCTACTTCACAAAGATCTTTCACTAGGATTCAGTTGTGCTTTAGGGGTAATTCAAACAAAGATACAATGTAAGATGGTGGGGGGGAACAATGACTTTCTAAGTGCATGGAGTAAGAGTAATGATTTGCAAAAAACATCTTGGCTTAAAAAGCTGAATAAAACATTTTCTAATGGTTTTGTGTGTAGGAAACAATAGAGTCTGGAGAGAAAGCAAGTGATAATTCCTTTTTTTAAAAAAGTTGTAGGACATGATTGCTAAAAGACAGCCACCTCATTTCATTATAGCTATATTTTGTGGTAAACTGTATATGTTTAAAAATTTCATTTAGTTGACGTGAGCTCATATTATTTGCCTAAATTCTTCTGTTGTAGCAATCATTATGTGGAAGTGTATCAATGGAAAAGCTTTTGGTTAGAAGGAGA